CCATTTTTTTGTGTGTCAATTTTAGTTTCAGTCTAAACCTTAGTTAAATAAGCTTTGTTTTTGGTTTTTTGTTTGTTTGTTTTTTCTGATACCAAATAGCAATTCATGTGAATCCTGTCTAGTGGTTCTCTCTCTTTCAGGTTATGGGATGATGTATTGAAAGTACACTTTGATTTAAAAATATATATATAATTGCACCTGTAATACTCACCAAGGATCTAAAATGAAGACTTAGAATATCTGACTATTAGAAGTAAATAATAAGCAGATAAGAGTGTATTATGCTAGAGCTTTAAAATAGCCAAATATGCACGAAGTAGGTTTAGGATAAGTTCAGAACTATACACTTCTCTAAACTGTCTCTATAATCAGTTACAGAAACTCCAGAACCAGTGCAATCTGGTGGTGTATACAGGCCACCTGGTGCCAGAGACAGCAAGCCACGGAGAGCCCAACGAGGACCACCTGAAATTTATAGCGATACGCAATTTCCGTCATTGCAATCTACTGCTAAGCTTGTAGATAGTCGAAAGTAAGTATTTAATCATTTAAGATGCCTATTTAAATTGCTTTCCCTTCTTAAATCAGAATCCTAATTTCTCATTCAAGGACAGACTATTAATTTCCACAGGACAGGGGGATCAATAGCAGGAGTAACCCCAGAACATGGAGGGGACAAATGATGTATAATACTGTATTTACTCAAATACAAGGTGACCCTGAATATAAGGTGACCTCCCCCCCCTCCCCCTCCAGTAATTAGATTTTATATGTGGAAAAATTATTATTTTGTTATTATTTCCCAGATATAAAATCTAATTATTGTAGGCTTGACTTTCATTTCCCCCCCTGAAATCTTCATCTTGTGTTTGAGTAAATACGGTAAACTTGGTAAAATGGCCATACCAGGTGGTTGCCATTTTCTTGGCCATCTTCCCTCCATGTTTGGGGAATTGTGTATATAAAATGCATCTGGTCTTGGTAAGAGCAATTTCCCTTGAATATTGACGAATGAGGCTGCTTTGTGGTAGTTGTCAGCGGGAAGTCATAGCATAGTTCTTTAGTGGAGCTGTATTGTCATGGGAGACTTAAGGAAAGGTGTAGAGGAATAGTACATGAGTGATTATGACCTCTAGTCCATGAATCTTTCCACCTTGCCAAGGGAGTGTCATAGTACCTGGGTGACTAAGAAGACTACAAGCTCATGTTGTCAGGGTCCTGTCCCTTCCTTAAACATTTCCCGTGTGGAAGGGCTAACTAGATCCGTATTTCTAGCTTGTTTACCCCTATCCTTTCTTGATATGGTATTGATTTAGTATCATCTGAGTATAAACTTGCTTTTCATGATCTTGAGTGGTGCCTGCCAATTGAAGTATCAGTATAATCACAGCTGTTTAATATTGTTCAGGTGTTAGGAAAACTTAATCTTCAAGGCTAAAATGAGAAATCTTGAATGTTACTTCAGTGTAGTACAACATAGTAGATGTATCATATCCATTTCCATATCTTCTGACTGTTTCATGTTGCAATTGTCAGCCCTCTTTGGAGGGAGAAATGGAGTTCTGTTTTCAAGATTTTTTAAAATTTTTTTTTTATTGAAGTGCTGTAGCATGGTATTGACCCGTATTGCCTTTCTAGGATATACCATGCTGGAATGAACTTTAGAGAAACTAAGTTCTCAGCATAATCTGAATTTATAGTATAGAAAGGACAAGGGTTTGACTGTGGTCTGTACAAGAGTCTTTGTTTGGGGAATGTATGGATATCTTGTTCAATCCAAATCCTTCATATGTTGCATATGTAGTGTTAACACTCTCATTTTGTTGGGATGGGGTGGAAGTTGGCTAGAAGCTCACAATTCAAAAGTCCAGTGAATAAGACGCTTACTGATTACATTTATTTTCCCTTAGGGATAAAGAAATGGAGAAGAGCTTTGAAGTAGTAAAACACAAAAGTAGAGGTAGGGATGAGGTCTCAAAAAACCAGGCACTTAAACTTCAGCTAGACAACCAGTATGCTGTGCTTGGGGATCAGTAGAGCTGCATACACATTACAATTAAGGAATGCCTTTTTGGTAACCCTCCTACTAAGGTAACTAAACTACAGCTAACGGCTATGACGAACATGCCATCTTATTTCTGCTGGATCTACTGCAACAAATGCAGACTACTTTGACATAAATGATTGGCTCTTCTGCGCTATGGAAGCCTGATGTTTCAACTCCCCATTGGATATGGGGCAAATTAGTGTAAATGGTTGAACGAGTCATCAGTGTTCTTTAATTTCTCTGAAAAATATCTGCAGCCAGTGGTCATTTCCAAAATCTTTTTATGTTCAGATACTGAGCCTTCGTAAGGGTTGACTACCTCAGACTTGCTGCACTCATTGTGGACACCATGTGGATCACAACTTCTGGAAAAAAGAAGGTTCCAACTGTTATAGTGGCCATCTGAAACTTGAAACCAGCTCTACTGGATTCCTGTTAGAATTCCTGCAGAAGTCAGCCATTTGCTTCCAATTTGTTATAGATAACAAAGATTTTAAGTGACCTTAATGAGAAGTCTGTTCTGTTTTCCCACCCCCCTCCTGAGGAATCGTTTCATATGTAGCCATAGCCTACTAGAGACTTCTGGAGCATACCACTTGCAAACTATTTGAGTATAGTAAAAAGCTGTAGTTTGTTTACCTTTTTAGACAGCTGTACTGAAGTAACTGCAAAACAAATTAAAACTCGGATTCAGAATTGAGGAATGATGGGTTTGAATGGTCTGTTTGCATTAGCCATTTTCAGTTGTGCGTTTAAGCATTTTCTATTTTCCTCCATGCACACAATGCCTTCCCTGTCTGGTATCAAATTGCAGTGTATTTAAGTGACAACGTGAAACATATTAGTAGTGATATAAGTTTTTTTTGTTTTGTTTTTGTTTTCATTTGGTTTTATTAATCTTGTTTTTTGTAACTAGGTCTTATCTCTCTCTCTCTCACTCCCTCCCACCCCTCTGAGGCACTAGGACTTTAGACTGTGATTTAATGGGCACATAGATGCCTGTACTCCCACTATAGTCTCCAGAACTTAATCTAAAAAATAAGTGCAAGATCCTTGGCAGTAACATTATTAGCCTCTAGATACATTCTCTCCTATTGTCATAAAAGTAACCACTGTCTGACCAACCCTGTCTTGTATTGGAAAGCTGCAGTTGTTGATGGGAGGATAGCTATAAGCCTACAGCAACTTCATTTCTTCTTGCTGCTTCTGATCAGCTTTTTAACTATTCCAGGCAAAGATCCTAGATACAGTACTTCAAATGGCACTTTCTCAGTTGCAAGGAGCTTAGTAATGATGGAAGCTGTACAATTTCTAGACAGTTCTGTTACTGAATTTAGTGGAGATTGACAAAATTGTGCTTCTGTATCAGAACTGTAGGCTAATGTCCAGTAACTTCGATTCATTGAATGGAAGTAACAACCACCAAGTGTCTTGTTGTAGACCACCTTTCTCTTGCTTTGCTAAACTGTTATTACATTAGAAACAAAAGAGGTTACGGAGAGTGGTGTTTAAACACTCTAGGTTTCTCAATGGGAATGCCAAAAGCAGGGCCTCCAGAGTTGCCAATAATCAAATGAACAAGGGAGTACAACAGTCTCTTTATTGATGTGCAGAAACTGCAAGGTCTGTTACCTTTGATTAATGACTGACTTGTTTAAAGTCCAATTCTTTTGAAGTTGATAAGAATTTGCTCTTAACTTCAAAAAGAGCAAGGGCTTGACCTGGTGTCTCCTTTCCGTGGACTAGAACTGGCCATATTCTTAGTGTTAACTTCCTCAGTAAAATTTCTAAACTAGCAAGCTCCGAATACAGGGCTCAAAAGATGTTTTTAAAACCTGAAGACTTAGGAAATCACCTGAAGTAGAGTTACACTCAGACTGTTGGACTGTGAGCCATATATCTTCCTTGAAAGCATGCTTTTGCCAACAGCACATTTTGTTTGGTTTGTAACTGAAGAACTGTGTGGAATTTGTGGTAAATGGATGTGTTGCACTGAATTGGAAGTTGAAATATTAAGCCCCCAACGCTTTCTTCACCTTTGACATTTTTATAAAAAAAAATTGAAATTGTTAATGCACACAAATCAAGTTTTAATATGTTGTATGATGGGTAGATGAAACTGTCCATTGTACCACTTCTTTGAAGTCTTGGGCACAATTTTGGCAATGCAAGAAAACCTTGTAACAACACTTCCAAATCTAATAAATGGAAATACACATGGATCCTGGAGTCTAATGAATCATTATCTCTAGCTCTACCTTACCTGTGCAGCGCATATTCAAATACAGGGTAACTGTAATGCTTTAGGACTTTATATTGGGGTTTGTAATCAAGTTCAAGCCACCCCAGTAGAGCCAAGTTAATAGGTCCTAGAAATGCATGTTATTGTATGGCCTTCATACAATGAGGTTTAGCTATCACTGAAGACATTTCTCTTGATAACACTCCCATTTAGTTCTTACCTTAAATTCTGTGGATGCTGAGATTGCCAGTATCTGAAAATTGAGTGGGATTTTTTTACTTGAGTGTCACTTATTCAACCTAAGAAGGCATAACAATGGAAATTTGCTACTGCTCATTCTGTGCATGGAGGTCTCTAGACTGTTCCTGACTATCATAAATTTAGACTTGCTTATACATAGACTATCTCACTCTATTCCTTTGAAGTATGAAAGGGCTATTGTAATCAAAATGAGTTGTATATTCCAGAGTGTAGAATATCTTTGCAAAACTAGTCATCAGTTTTCTTTAGGTACTTAGTTTAAATACTGCTATTAGGGAGTCAACCAAAATACCAATTGATCTTTGTTTTAATATAATGGATAGTATTTTAAACATGCATTCTTTAAAGACCTGAGCATGTTGACTTTGTTTGGGTCCCAGTACAGTGAACTTCAGATAGCTTGGCGTTTTTTTGCTATATTCACTTTAAATGCATTGTTTTACACCTACACAACTTCTAAATGACATTTGAAGCTTTACTTTATAAATTAAAGCATACTCTAAACATTGTTCGGTGAAATCTAGTTATGCAAGTTCAAGAAGATCCTCACTCGTAAATGTACCTCTTCCTTTATGTAGGCCATTTACTGACTTCTAGTTAAAAAGCTTGCAAATGTCCAATAATTATTTTAAGCAAGAGGTAGGACATCAAATTACAGAACACCTGTAGACCCTCTGAATACCCTGAAACTGATGCACAGGAGAATGGTTTGGAATACAGTTCTTGGTGGTAGCTCATATAATTAAAAACTGAATAGTAAAATTGCTAAAATCTAGTAATTGGAATGGAAAATATATTATCAAAATTCTACAAATTTGAATTCCCAAGACACGGTGCAGGAATTTGGTGCCTGTGCTAGAGTTAATTCCATCACATGTAGAGCAGCATTTGTATTTCATTGGGCCTGGACTACTCATGCTTGGCATCAATCCAAAAGTATAAAAGGGATACTGACAGCTAACTGTGGCTATGTGCGACACTTCTGTTTTCTGTCGTTTGGTAGCTGGCTTTATTAGCCTTGTCCAAGGTAAATGTCCTCAAATTTTTTTTTTTAAATGAATCTGCTATAAGCAGTTCATTTAAGTGTTGAGTAGGGGTGCTCTTTTGAGTTTTGTGCAGACTGGCTTCATATTGAATTGTATATTCTCTAGTTCATGAAAGTTCTTGCATTCCAGGCTGAGATTTCTAGGACAGCTGACTTTCTTGGACTGCTCAGAGCTTGACAGCAAAAAAAAGCCCCTTGTGTGGGGACTGGCTTATAATTACTATACAAATCAACATATCTGTTAGACTGAAGGTTTTTAAACATGCTTGATTCTTTGCCCAAGTGCCATAACTAGAGGGTAGTGGTAGTCTTTGCCAGACTAAACTTTGAAATAATTAACAAGGAGCTTTTGATAGTTACTGCCCGTTACCTCTTTACTAGTGAAAACCATTAAAAAAATATAATAAATACCTCACTTTTCACATGTGATAATCCTGCTGTTAGAAACAACTGAATCTTACAGCCAGATGTCTAGGATCTTTAAACAAGTGTTTTGATGTGAGCACAAACTATTCTTTTGAATATCCCTGTTCTAAGTCTAGCAAACTGCTGGATGCCTTGTTACAAGTCTTTCTGAAATTATGAGTTAAGACTTAAGGTTGGCAATTTTGCTATAAAAATCAGTTTTATCTGGGGGGAGGGAGAGGCAAGGGAAAGGAGTTTTAATTGGGTAGGTGCTAGTAAACTTCAGCAAATTTCAGCCTTCTAAAATGAGTGCATTATAGAACAACACTCATTTGATATTAAAAATGAAAAATCTTGCTTGGTGTGAGATGAATATGAAAACAAATTTTAAAAACAAAATATTTAAAGTAGAAGTTAAAAATCAAAGATGATGTTTATCATAGAAGTAAGTAATAAAGTAAGCTTTGAACCTGGTGTGAGAGATGCATTTGTTGTAGCAGATGCTAAAATTGGCAGCACATGACATTAAAAAATCCAATATCAACTTGGATAAGAATACATGCCATGCATTTTAAAAACTAATTTTGCGTATCAGTTACTGGTATTGTTATATTATACTTGGGTGTAGGAAGGATTTGATAAAGGGGAAAGACTAGGAAGACTACTCAACCTACAGCACTTGAAAAATAAGGTATGTAAGTAATGGATAGTGTCATTATGTATACTGTGGAAAAAGGTGAGTTGGCTGATAGTGAATGCCACAGAGATGCAGAGCATTGCATTTGCTAGTCCAAGGTGACTCCTCAAGTTCAAGTTAGAGCCAAGAAAGTTTGAAAGCCAGTAGAACAGAGGAAAACTAAGGGCTTGAATTGAAAATGCTTTCTACAGAGATAGTGGAATTGTTGTCAATGTAGATCTCAGTAATCAGCTCCCACAACTGTTTTGAGTGAATTAGGATAGTGCCAAGATAACAAGATAAATATGTCCTTTTTCATGATGAAATAAGTTGTAAGAGTTCAAAGTTTTAAAAAGTTAAATATTTTTCCTCTTGAATTAATTTGGTAAAAAATTGGGACTGATTCATAGTATTGTGAAGATGTCCATGCATTTCCTTTTTTGACAGAAGCAATCTCTGATATGCTGATTGTATTTTTATATGCAATTGCTCAGGTACAGTATGTTGTAGCAAGATTGGTGAGGTCACAATGGATTACTCAGCTATAATATGGACATTTTTTAAAGTACCAAAAATTTAAATGCTCAGAAAAATAATAATGTATCCAAGATTTTTGATACCGAAGTTCTAATCCAAATCAAACAAGTACAAGTGATGAAGTGTGTTCTGTAGTAAAGGCACAGGGACTGAGAAGCAGGTCTGGTACTCTTTTTAAGTTCTTCCATTGATTTGTTGTGCAGCCTTGGGCAAATTATTTACTCTTGCTGTGCCTCAGTTTCCCCAGTTCTAAAGAGATAATACTTCCCTACCTCACAGGGGTGTTGTGAGGTTTAACTCATGCTTTGCAAAGTGCTTTGAGATCCTCTGATGGAAGGTGCTATTGAAGTGCAAAATACAAAAACGAATAGGCCGAGTGCTGTTGACTGATTTGATTTATAATAAAACATTCAAATTAGTTTTCATTAAAGTATTTTAATACTACTTTAGGGAAATCTTATATCTGCAAAAGTAATATACATTCTATTATATTATTTAAGTATATGGGATCATATAACTACAGACTGTATTATAATGCATATGTGGAAGGGGCATAGTTAAACATTCAACCTTTATTTGGCATTTCCTGATCTTGTGATTAACTGTGCAGCCCTAACATTGTATTAACATAACACTTTTTTGGTTTGCATGGATTATATTTAAAATCAATCTTGTTCTATTTTGTAAACCCCATGACTGAAATAAACTTCTGATCACACTGTTGTTTAATACCTATCTTTTATCATTTGGCTGTCTCTCAAAATCTGTTTAAGCAATGAGAATCTAGCACTGATGATGCCAAAGAATTCACTGATTGTCTTACTTCTCGCTACAAGCAAACAGTTGGCATTATTGTTCTACCTTTTTTTTTCTCTGTGGTTTGTTTGTTTTTTTCCCTCCCACTCATGGTACATAAAAATGCTTTTTTTTACCCTGCAAAGGCTTAAAATCTGATTTCAAGAAAAAAGAATGTATTAGTAAGATGGAAGAACAACATAGCAGCAGTAACACTTGGTTATTTGTTGGGGAAGTTTCTGTGAAAAGTTGAGGACAGGCTCAGGAGGTAAGCCACAAGGATGAGAAGAAAGCAGGGAATATGGTGCCAGGACAGTTCTTGTGGAAGAACAAGTGGAAAATGGAACATATATCAGTGCAACTCAAATGAAGCTGTAAGAGCCTGGAGATCAGGGAGTGAAGTTGAAAAGTGATTACCATAAAAATGCTAGCAAGATGTCTCTGAAGTCTACCTGCCACTAACTCACTGCATCTAAAAATGAGCTGTTCATAAATGGAGTCTTTAATGATTTATATCTTCCCATCAGAAGTATAGTATATTTCCATGCTTCAAAAAACTATATAGCAGTTACTTCAAATGAAATTCTTGACTGTGGCAGATGAGTCTTTGAAGTATGAGTGATAACCTTTGCAATTGTTTCATCCATTAGTATAATAGCAGATACTTTTTTTTTCTTGCAGCACTGAGATACAGATGACGGTGGGTTAAAATAACCTTTCAAGAGTGTCTTTTTGTCCTAGATACATGGTTAAGGGAAGTGGTGTTCTTGTATGCTTGTGGGTTTTTTGGGCTTGTTTTGTTTCTCTCTTTCCTTCTTTCCTTCCTTCCTAAACCTGCTTTTGTAATCTCCCTATATGTGAATATCACCTTTCTCCAAGTTCTAATTATTTTTGTCTCTTATTGAATGGGACAATATGATAAGTCTATGGTGCTGAAAACAGACTGCGGACCTTGGAGATAAATATATGCTGTGATATTTTTTCATATTCTGTCTTTAATACAGCCTAACATCTTACTCGCTTTCTTGACTGCAACTGCACATTTGAGCAGATGTCTTCATCAAGCTGTCCATGGTGATGCCTAGACGTCCCATTGAGAGATTACATCTTATTCAGAACCCATCAGTGTGTATGAATGTTTTAAATTTTTTCTAATATTCAGTGTCTTGCATTTGCTTCTGTTGAATTTTATTGGCCATTAACTTGCCCAGTTTTAAAAGTTGTTTGATTATTCTGGGATTCACAATCTTCCCTGGCTGCTGAAAAAAAACAAACTTTGTGTTGGTAAGAGTTATGACTCCATCTTATTCAGTTTTAAGACCATGGACAGACATAGCAAATATCACCATTTTAACACTAACAGTTGTCTGTGTGGCATGTCCCTATTAGCTTCTGTTTATGTGGATGTTTGATCATTTCTTCCTGTCTCGTAGCCCTATATGTTGCAGGAATATGAGTTTCTACTTTCAATTGTGAGAGCAAAGCTATCCAGTCAAAACTTTCTTCCTAAATTAATTTGTATATAGCAAAGCTATAAATAGAAATATATAAGTATTTATAGCAATGCTATAAATAGCTTTTAAATAGAAAACAAAATTACTGCTCACATCATTTTCAGAGCATAGGCTTCCGCATCAAAATGATTCCAATACCAGATTTGTCCACACCTGATTGAAACTGTAAAAGCAGCATGCCAGAACTAATCTGCTAGGCACATAAAACAGCTGTGCATTGACTTCAGTGGAGTTAATCAACAATTTTGAGAGAAGATGCAAATCCATTAGAGCTTAAACTGGAGCTTCTCTCTTGGAGTTGAGATGTATCAGAAGGTTAGACACAAGTCCTATAAACGTTTATATTTACATCGGTATGATCAGGCCTTACATTGGCATATAAAAGTGGGGAAACAACATAATCTCTTCATTGGTATAACTTGACTGGGTGTAGAAGTGCCCCAAGAAAAATCAAGGGTAAAAAAAACAGTTGTGTAATTTACTTTGGTGTCATCTGTCCACAGCATATTCCAGGCTATTAACTGTTCCTCTGCCACATACTAGCTAGGGACAGTAATAAAACTAGAAGAGCTACCAAACTGTCTGTTCTATAGCCTGGTGTAACATTACATAGCTGTAAGTGTGTTGTATGCCCAGGCTCAGGCACTCACCCCATAGATAACTGCACTAGTACTTAACTGGATATTGCAATTACAATACTGAGGCAAAAATGAATTTAACAAATTACATGTTTTGCACTATTTCTTAACATTGTCTATATCTTGTACTGTAAGGAAGGGAATACTCTGAATGAGGTTATTTTTATATAAATATTTGATGATTTCTTTTTTCTTGTGTCTCTTTCCCATAAATAGGTTACCTTATAAAATTAAAACAACAATACTACTTTATTGGAGGAATGAGTTTTTCAGTATTGGAGTATATATTACAGCTTCCTGGTTTTAGTAATATCATGCGATTGGGAGATTAACAGATTGTGGCTTTTGCATATTTCTGCCATTCTCTCTCTTTCTGTCTTGTATTACCTAACTGGTCTATTGGCAAAATTGTGATATGGATGGAGTATCAGTGGGAAGCAGAAGACCTGTCACTAGCCTTGCTGTATAACTGTGTTCATTTTTAACATAGTAATAATTCAAGATGCAAAACTGTAAAGCATTTTGCCTGGCTTGGGATAAAAGAGAAATGTGTTTTATACAAATGAAATCTACTTCATCTCAAGGCAGCTTGTTCTCCTTAAATGCTAGGCATTCAGAACATCTGCCTAATGCCCCTGCTAAAGCCAGTCATCAAAACCTGAACCCACCAGTCTTAGTTTTTTCTATAACTATTTGCATTACTATGGCACCTAGAAGCTACTAGCCAAGGACCAGGACAGCACTGTTGGTAGGTGCTATGCTGACAGAACTAGAAAATAATTCCTGCCCTGATCAATTTACAAAATGTGTGTGGCTGCAGAACAATACAGATTTACACAAGCTTAAGAGTTCATAAACTACTCAATTTGGAAGCAGCTGTTGAAGCAAAAATGATATCCTGCCTCTGTATTATGTGGGAGTCCTTTCCCATCAGGATAACAGCTTAACTGGCATAGTTCTTTCCACTGAAATATGCTAAAGCCTGTATTTAAGAAAATGTAAGTTTCTTTTATAGTGAAACTTAGATCCTTAAGGCTATTCAGGTGCCCAACTTCCACTGATGTTTAAAAAAAAAAAAATTAATTGAGTCAGTTAGGTACCTAAATGGCTTTGAGAAACCTGGGTGGTGAAGTGGTAGTAAGTCAAGAAGGCATTTAAACATGCTTCATACCCTTTTTCTTTTATAGCTAGCACAGTTCAAACAACAGTACTATATATGCAGACAATGATGTAGCCAGCTGTTAGTGATTTTTATTTTTTAAACAGAGTTGAGAGACTTCCTGGCAAAGAGTATTAAGAGGGCATCCCTATATGTTGAAATGGCCTTGCTTCCAAGTATTATTCATGGAAACCTCAAACCACAGGAATTAGCATTTCTAGTTCTAGCACAAACAGTGGTGAAAGGAACCAAAGGTAAATAACTATGCTTAAATGTAACATTTAAAGTAGTCTGACTGAAATCCATTCAATGTTTGTCTGGAAAATATAACTGATCAGTCATTAAAGGGAAAAGATTTAAACAAGTCAGAAAAATCGTGTTCAGAGGTAGGTCTGCAAAAGCACCACTTGGCCCCGAGCTGTTTGTGGTAGACTGTGTATATTCCTCTTAAACACCATTTATTCAGCTGCACAATCATTTTGACATTGACTTTTACAGTGGTTTACCATTTACAATTGTAGATTCTGCATTTGACTTAGCTTCTCATTGTGCATCACACATCCCTATTGTCCTTTCTTCCTGTGTTATAAGAATATAGTAATGCCATATTGGGTCAGACTATTGGTCCATCTAACCTAATACCCAGTCCTGCCACTATTGTGTGAGACGGGTTATCTTGGAGAGAGTATTGAACAGGGTATCTTGAGTGATCTATCCTGTATTCATTATCTTCCCTGGCATCTACCATTATTGATTTAGTGATGCCAGAGGAAAGGTCTAACTGTTGTTCAACCGCTATTAATAGATCTGTCTACATAAATCTGTCTAGTCCCCTTTTGAACCTGGCTATGCTATCTGCCTCTATGACCACCTGTGGCAACAAATTCCACAAGTTAAACTACACAGTGCATAAAAAGTACTCTCTCTTGTTAGTGTTAAGAGTAACCATATCCAAATCTGTGGTGCGTTTTGTGACAGTTGAATGGAGAAAACTAAAGAAAATAAATTTTTATTTCTTCTCTTATAGTATTGACTTTTTATTTTTAAGAAATTAAATTATTTTAATTTCTCAGGCTTTTCTTGTTAAAAAATGGTTTTCCAGTAAGACTGCTTGGGTACTTTACCTGTGCTGATCTGTGACATTCTAGTTCTAAAAAAAATGCACATCTTACACATTTTAAAACTTCTTCAGAAGCTTTCATTATCAGCAAGAATAATGGTCCAGCATTTTCTGCACTAACCTGTGACCCAGGGAACTTTCTGTGTGGCTCTAATAATGAAGGCCAAGCTCCTCTATTAGAAAATGAGGTGCTTGGATATTACGGTGTTGGAGGCCATAAGCAAACCCAAAGATGGGTAAACACATCCAGGTGCATACTACTAAGAAACTAAATTAATTTTACAGCAACCTAAGCAACTTCTTTTATTAACCACAAACATTCAAAATGAAACTAAAATAAAAATTTTAATTTTCTTAACAAGGTAGGGGCAAAACATAAATAGGACAGTAAGACAGATTCTGCTTAGTAGATTCTGGATCTTTTGACATTGCTTGTTTCTCCAGGTGCTTTTCTCTTCTGTGATGATCTGATTCCAGGCTCTCTGCTATTTT